TGTTGGGTCCTCGTTTTGAAGAGACGGTCCCCGCGTTCCTCCTTCTCCTCCTTCTCCTCCTCCTCCTTCTCCTCGCCCTCCTCCCTCCTGCGTTCGCATGCCTCCCCACCACCCATTTCGGCGCACCCCTCACACGTTTCGTGGCCCCATAGGCAGCTCCACCGAAGGCCCCAGTGGCTGCGTTCGCACGCCTCCCCACCACCCATTTCGGCACACCCCTCACACGTTTCGTGGCCCCATAGGGAGCTCCACCGAAGGCCCCAGTGGCTGCGCAGGGTCGCATGCCTCCCCACCACCCATGTCGGCACACCCCTCACACGTTTCGTGGCCCCATAGGGAGCTCCACCGAAGGCCCCAGTGGCAGGGTCCGCATGCCTCCCCACCACCCATTTCGGCACACCCCTCACACGTTTCGTGGCCCCATAGGGAGCTCCACCGAAGGCCCCAGTGGCTGCGTTCGCATGCCTCCCCACCACCCATGTCGGCACACCCCTCACACGTTTCGTGGCCCCATAGGGAGCTCCACCGAAGGCTCCAGCGGCTGCGTTTCGAAAATGCCTCCCCAACCACCCATTTCGGCACCCCCTCACACGTTTCGTTGTCCCCATAGGAGCTCCACCGAAGGCCCAGTGCTGCCGTTCGCATGCCTCCCCACAACCCACTCTGCAAGCACCCCCTCACACGTTTCGTGGCCCATATAGACCCCCACCGAAGGCCCCAGTGGGTGCGTTCGCATGCCTCCCCACAACTCATTTCGGCACACCCCTCACACGTTCCGTGGCCCCATAGGGAGCTCCACCGAAGGCCCCAGTGGCTGCGTTCGCATGCCTCCCCACCACCCATTTCGGCACACCCCTCACACGTCTCGTGGCCCCATAGGGAGCTCCACCGAAGGCCCCAGTGGCTGCGTTCGCATGCCTCCCCACCACCCATTTCGGCACCCCCCTCACACGTTTCGTGGCCCCATAGGGAGCTCCACCGAAGGCCCCAGTGGCTGCGCCCGCATGCGGTTCCACCCCCCATTCTGGCACACCCCTCACACGTTTCGTGGCCCCATAGGGAGCTCCACCGAAGGCCCCAGTGGCTGCGTTCGCATGCCTCCCCACCACCCATTTCGGCACACCCCTCAGACGTTTCGTGGCCCCATAGGGAGCTCCACCGAAGGCCCCAGTGGCTCCCCACCACCCATTTCGGCACACCCCTCACACGTTTCGTGGCCCCATAGGGAGCTCCACCAAAGGTCCCAGTGGCTGCGTTCGCTGCCTCCCCACCACCCATTTCGCACACCCCGCACACGGTTCTGCCCCATAACCGTGTGTGCTAAATAAACGACCGTGGCACGCGGAGCGCGCCAGACGGTTCACAGTTGCCTCCACATGACAACCAGATCATCGCACAGCCATCGCACGCACGACATCGTTCGGTTCACAGTTGCCTCCACATCACAACCAGATCATCGCACAGCAATCGCACGCACGACATCGTTCGATTCACATGCCAACATCATCGCATCACAGCCATTGCACGCACATCTTGGCAAGGAAGATGGTTTGAAGTCTCCCTCACCGCGGCTGGCAAAACATATCACAGCCTCTGCACGCACGTCTTCGCCAGGGAGATGTTTTTCATGTCTGCCTCACTGGGCCTGCCCGAATCATATCACAGCCTCTGCACGCAAGGTCTCGCAAAGAAGATGTGGTCGCTTCTTTTTCGCCGGGCCTATCCCTCCCCCCTCCCTCGCCCGCCGCCCCACCCTCCCATCCTCCAGCCTCCAATTCAAAATCGTCCGCACTCGTCCGCAATCCTCCCGCCGGAGGCCTCCAGCACTAGTCCCCCGACGCCTCCGCTCGAATTTGATATCCTCCGCACTCGTCCGCACTCCTCCCGGAAGCCTCTGGGAGGCAGTCCAGAGGCCTCCGCTGGAATTTGACATCCACCGCATTCGTCCGCACTCCGCCCGAAAGCCTCCGGAGGCACTCCCCAGAGGCCTCCGCTTGAATTTGAAATCCTCCGCATTCGTCCGCACTCCTCCTGGAGGCCTCTTGAGGTGCTCCCCAGAGGCCTCCGCTCGAATTTGAAATCCTCCGCAGTCGTCCGCACTCCGCCCGAAAGCCTCTGGAGATACTCCCCAGAGGCACTCCTTCGCACTCCATTTGAAAATCATCCTCGTTCCTTCTCCTCGTCGCCCCTCCTCCTCCTCCATCCTCCTCATTCCTCCTTTTCCTCCCTCCTCCCTCCCTTCCTCCTTCATTCCCTTCCCCCCCTTTCCCTCCGAAGTGCAGAATTGTTCCTCCTTTCTCCTCCTCCTCCTCCTTCTCCTCCTCCTCCTCCTCTTCGTCCTCCTCCTCCTGATTCCTCATTCCTCATTCCTCATTCCTCATTCCTCATTCCTCATTCCTCATTCCTCCTCCTCCCCTTCACCCTCCTCTTCCTCCCCCCTCCTCCCCCACTGCCTCCCTCCCCCCTTCCCTCCCCCTTCCCTCCCCCTTTCCCTCCCCCCCTCCCCCCCGAAGTGCAAAGCTGTTCCTCCCTCCTCGTCCTCCTCCTCGTCGTCGTCGTCCTCCTCCTCCTCCTCCTCCCCGTCCTGCCTCCTCCACATTGCCTACCTCCCTCCCTCTTTCCCTCCCCCCCCCTCCCCCCCGAAGTGCAAAGCTGACTCGTGGGCCGGGCAGGTCGGCGCTTCCGCCTCCACCCAGCTTTGCTCCATGGGGGGGAGGGGGGGGAGGGCGCGCGATTTTTGGGCTGTAACAGATGAATGCGAAAATGTGGCCCCACGTGCGGGCGAATCTCATGGGACCGAGAATGTGGCCTCACGCGCGGGCGAAGATAATGGAAACGATACAGTGGCCTCACGCGCGGGCGAAGATAATGGACACTCCGCCGTTCCAGGAGGAACCTGTTTGAGCGTATTCTGGCCCCGCGCCCGTTTCGCGGCACACCCCTCACACGTTTCGTACGACACGCATGATCATTACTTCTAATGCAGAACGCCATTACCTCATCATATCGACGGATGGTCGTTTTTCACGCACGCCCCGGTAGGGAGCTCCACCGAAGGCCCCAGTGGCAGGGTCCGCATGCCTCCCCACCACCCATTTCGGCACACCCTTCACACGCTTCGTGGCCCCATAGGGAGCTCCACCGAAGGCCCCAGTGGCGCCGCGCCTATGAGAAGAGGGGCCTAGTTTGCGTGCCCCATCGTTCGTCTCATATCCGTGCGGCACTCGCAGCTGCATATGGTTGGGTCCTTCGCCAGGCGAATGTGCTTTCTTCGGGGTCCTGCCCCCCCGTCGGGTGGAGGGCGGTCTGAGGCGGAGCTCGGGACTTGTGCCCCTCGTTGGCCAGGGCGCGGCTCA